CTGGTTGCTGGAGGGCGGGGTGCAGGCTGATCAGAGCCTGAGTTTCTTATCAAATAGTATTAATTAAGTCTAATGCATGTATTTCACTCAAAAGATTAAATTATCTTCTATATTCCAAAGTTACAAATGTTCCTTTGGCTCTATAAAATACCATTTTTTGGTTGTTTGTTTGGTTTTCACAAATTCATCTATCCAAAGTTACAGCATCAGACAATAATTTTTCTGCTCTATGTATCGTCTTTACACTCTTCATACTTCCCTTTCCCAAATCCTGAGTAGCCACTGATAATTTTAACTGTCTTTTGTTTGCATTTTCTATGATGTGATATACTTGGACATATATCAGTGTAGCTTCTTAGTACAACTACTTTGCAGAAGAGTTTGTAAGTGAGAGTTAAGTTGTATTTGCACATGCCTTTCAATAGACTAACAATTTGGAGATATAATTTACAAAGCTTTGATATATATAGTCTTCTCTCTCTCTCTCTCTCGCTCTCACTCTGGCTCTCTCTCTGTATCATTGTATCAGCATTGTTCTTAGTAGAAAACTTCTGAAAGCCAAAGGGAATAAAAAGAAAAGCAAAGAGAAAGAAAAAATTAAAATATGCATGACAATAGAGCAAATAAGTTTGCTAGACTCCCACAGCAGAATTCAAGAATATATACATGACTTTACAAGGGCAAGCGTAGAGTACAAAAACTGCACCAGAATAAACATAGTTTTACTTCATTTATATGTAAGTCTAAGACAAGTGAATTGAAGATTACTGCAAAAGAATGAACATTCAATGAAAAGCAAATATTGGAAACAGTGTCCCCTCAGGAGGAAAAGATAAAATTGAGGAGGAACTGAATGGGTTTCAACTTCATTGTTAGTTTTCTGTCATTAAGCCTATAGAGTGTAAATTATTTCTTTTAATTTTTTTTAAATTGGATCCCATGTCACTTACATGGACAGACAAATAATGAAGCACAATACAATGTCATATAAACATATCACTTTGTATATGTGAAATATTTCATTTTGTTTGTATTATTTCAAGTCATAAAGATTAAAGTAGAATTTACACTAAAATAGCTAAAAATATTTCTGAAGTTTGAAAAACATTGGAGACCTTTAAGCATAAGTCTTAAGATTTGACTTTAAATACAAAAAAGCTTGAGTTCCACTTCCACTAAATATTAACAACTTAATAGCATATGATTAGTTACTGAATTCTTGTATTAGAATTTCCACCTTTAATAAGTACTAGTGATAAACAAAATAATACACAAATATCTCCCACTATAATCAGCTTATACCAATGTAGTTACGTGGCTTTGCTTTAAGCAGAGGTGGTTTCTGAAGGAATAAAGGTGAAACTTTACCATTTAACATGGAAACATATGATACTGCATTTATGTAGTTTGGTAGAGAAGTACTGTTTTCATTTTAAAATTAAGTATACTTCATACACTGAAATCATGCTTGAACTGAGTTCCCTTGCCTAACACTCTGATAAAGTGGAATTAAAGTTTTTAGGTCTTTAAAATAAAATCATGTTGCTACACAACAGGAGGCGAAACCACTGAGCTAAACCCCTGACCATCATGTTGCTACAAAGAGGATAACTTGATCTCTATCTTTGTTATTTGTGCACTCTATTTCTTTTCCCTTACTGTTCTGGCTAAGGCTTCCAATTCTATATTGAATAGTGAGAAAAGTAAATATGTCATTCTTGATCTTGCTGAATATCACTTTAGATTTTTGCTCATAACTATTGATGCAGGAGGTGTGTTTGTCCTCTGTAGCCCTTGCTAGTTGAACTAAATTATTTTTGTAACTAAGTTTTTTGGTTGTGTTAAGTTATGAAGTGTTGTTGAATTTTATAGAATGATTTTCTGCACCTACTATGATGATCAGATGGTTTTTAGTTTCATTCTATTAAAGTAATGTATTATGATTATGATTTGAATAAGGTGAACCATCCTTGCATTGCTTGGATAAGTCCCATTTGACTATAATGTAGAATGTTGGAAATATAATGTATGTAGCTTCTTAATATAACCTTTTCATAGAATGGTTTAGCAGTGATAGTTAAATTTGATATACACATTCCCTACAATAGAGTAACCACTGGAGATACAATTATCAGAGCTTTTGATATTCATACTGGAGAATGATTTGGTTCTCATTCAGTTCAGTTTGCAGCCAGAATCATGGAGAGCATTCAGTTCATGAACTTAGGGTCCCCTGGATATATGAATGTCTGTGTCACCACCATTTCTGATACAAAAATGCTGAAAGCCAAAAGATGTAAAAATGAAAAAGTTAAAATGAGCATAACAATAGAGCAGATAAGCTTGCTCTACTCTCACAGTAGAATATGAAAATAAATACATAAATTTCACAAGGACAAAAGTAGATTACAAAAATTGCAGAACACTAAATATAGCTTTATTTCATTTATATTCACTTCTAAGACAGGTAAATTGAAGGATTACTGCAAAATATTGAAAGCAAATATTGAAAACAGTGGGGATATGGTGTCCCCTAAAAGGAAAAATGATACAAGGGAGGAAGAACTGCAGGAGTTTCAACAAGATTGTTAGTTTCCTATCAAGCCTCTTGAATGTGAAATATTTCTTTGAGCACTGTTATTTAAAATGTTATCAGTTGCCATATAAATAGAAATACACATAAACACAGCACAACTTCCTATATGTGAGTATATCCTTATTCTGAATATGTGAAATATGCCATTTTGCTTGTGTTATTTCAATAGTCTTATAAAGATTAAAGAAAAATTTCCTGTAAAGTGGGGAGAAATATTACTGAATTTTGAAAAATATTCAAGCAGCTTACAGGTCTGTCGGACCTCAAGCAAATAGAATTTTGAGGGCCACTTTCACTACATATTACTATCTTAGAGGCACATAGTCAATACTAAATTCTTAAATTTGAATTTCCACATTCATAACAAACACTAGATATAAGGGAAATAATACAGAAATATCTGTCATTGTAATCAGCATGTAACAATGTGTTAAAGTATCTTTGCTTTAAATAGAGGCAATTTCCCAAGACTAAAGAAGAAATTTTGCCATTTCACAGGGAAACACAGGACACTGGGTTGTGTAGTTAGGCTGGGAATTATTTTTCTCCATTTAAAAGTCATATACTGTGAGGGGTAGGGGATGTAGCTCAGTGGTTCCGCTGCCTGCTCTGTGTGTGCAAGGACCCGTGTTCCATCTCCAGTACCAAAAAAAGAAAAATCATAAACTGTGTACTTGGATAAAACTGCACTGAAAAACTATTAAACTAGTTTTGTGGCCGAGTTTCTGACATTCTGCCTGGTCATTTGTTAGCCCAAATCTAAAGAGGCCGAATGCCCTCAATAGAATGAACCGCTAATCCATGATCATATTACTACATGAAAGTTCATGACAGCTCTACCCTGCCTCACACCTAGTTGACATTTCAAGAACCAGTAACGTTTCTGTTCACCACTTGGGATATGTATCTGTACTACCTGGATCATTGTTCTGGCTTTTACAAAAAGCTATCTCATCTCAATTTGTAGAAGACCTACTCTCTTTGAGAAAAAAGTTATGTGCTTAGTTTCAGTCACTCTAAGAATAGAATTAAAAATAAAATAGGACAATGATTAAGAAAATACAAAGAGATGAGGAAAAATGACAGGAAGGGCATATGGGAAAGGATTGGTCAGTTGGTGCAAAGTAGCTAAATAGGAGAAATAAGATCAGATGTTCTGTTGTACAGTAGGCTGAATAGGGCTAATAACATATATTAGAAGAAGTGAAAATAAAAGCTTTTGGATATTTTGTCACAAATAAAGAATAAATATTTGTGGACATAAATATGATTCCTTTATGACATTACAAAATGTGTAAATGTATCAAGAGATCACATGGTACATGTGAATATCTGGAATATTTACTTGGGATTAAAAATGAATGCATAAGAAATTTGAAAACAAGTTTGGGATAACGGCACAAACCTGTAATCCCAGCACTTGGGAGGCTGAGGCAGGAGGCATGCCAGCTGTTCAAGACCAATCTGTGCTATGAAGAGAGACCCTGTCTCAAACAACAGAAAAAAATACAAACAAAAGTAAAACTGCATTTCTTGTTAAAGAAACTAACAAAACTAAATTACAAATACATAGTAAAATAAAACACAAAGGTAAAATCGTAAATGTAGCAGCAGAAAAATTTTATCATGTTCAGAAATGCAATACAGCTTTGTTACAAATTTCTATACATTATTCAATTAAAAATCACTAAAAGCTATGATTACATAAAAAATTACAATGTTTGTAACAGAAGGATAACACATGAAAAGGAGAAATACAGAAGAAAACACTTTTGTTACAACCTTTCCCAAGACTCTGGTAATCAAGATAAATAGAAAAAGTAAGTCTAATGTGAAACATAGATGTAAAAAGAGAGCCCCATGAAGGTTCATTCAGAAACAATTCAGAGAGGAGAGTACATATCCTTGACATTGGAAAGATCTCCTAGGCAGATAATAGGAAATACAATGACCATCACAATGAAAAATTTCCTCTACTAAGCAGATTTCCCAGAGCACTTTTCATATCCCGATTCCTCAGACTGTAGATAAAGGGATTCAGCATGGGTGTGACCATTCCGTACACAGCAGCCACAATGACATCCTTGTCACTAGTGTTATTGGATGAGGGGACAAAATAGAGACCAATAATTGCTCCATAGTAGACAGTGACCACAGAGAGATGAGAACCACATGTGGACAAGGCTTTGCAGATTCCCTTGATGGAGGGAGCTCTCAGGATGGTTGCCCCAATTTGGCCATAAGACACAAGAATGCACATGAATGGCAGAGTAATAACCATTGTTCCTCCAATATGAATAAACAGTTCATTGATGGTTTTGTCTGAGCTGGACAGTTTAAGTAAGGCAGAGAGATCACAGAAAAAGTGGTGGAGAGTGTTGTCTCCGTAGAAAGAGAGATGGGCTAGGAGGAGAGTGTGTACAAGAGCACTGGCAGAGGAGAAGACCCAGGACACAATTACTAGCAGGAAGCAGAGGTTCTGACTCATGATGATGTTGTAGTGGAGGGGATGACAGATGGCCACATACCTGTCAAAGGCCATTGCAGTGAGAAGGAAGCTGTCAATACCACCAAATAATAAGAAAAAATATTCCTGAGAAATGCACCCAGCATAAGAAATGGATTGACTATGATTCAGCATATTAATGAGCATCTTTGGAGCTGTGACTGATGAGAAAGAGATGTCAGTGAGAGCCAAGTGGCTGAGGAAGAAGTACATGGGGGTGTGGAGGTGGGAGTCCAGCCTGATGAGCAGGATGATGAGCAGGTTCCCCAGCACTGTGGTCAGGTACAGGACCAGGAAAAGGGCATAGTAAATGCCTTCCTCCTCCTTCTGGATAGGGAGTCCCAGGAGAACGAACTCAGACACACTGCTCTGATTGTTTCTTTTCATGCTCTTTCTTTTTTTACTATACTGATGACACAAAAGGAAAAGACATGCAAAAAATGGGAAATCATTGTGAGTGTTACATAGTAAAAACATACATTGTACTGACCATTGACTTACAAACTCAATTTTTCAGGAAGAATGATTGTGACTCAAGTTGGTCGGTTGAAGGCTCAGGCTTCTCTACACAGCCTTCAAAGTCTCTCTCTGTATACAGGCAGATCTCAGCATCCTTAGAGAGACTTTGGTGCAGGATTTCTCAATTTACCCCATTGAAAAAGTGATGTTGTAATAATCATTCCAGAACTCTTTAAGCGTTTAATCTGTATCTAAGTGCATGTGGAAGCTCAAGTGGCCAGCATTTGGGTCATAAATCAAGAGTTTGTTCATAAGTGAAATCTAAAATTATGTTTGTAACTCAAGTTGTTCCTCTCAGGCCAGTTGCAACTCAAAGATACACTGTAGTTTGGAAATAATCAGTACCTACAAATTCTGATGTGCACATCTCAAACTTTTCACCACAAATGGGGCTAGTGATGATCTAGACAAAAGTCATTTGTCTACCTGAAAACCAACTTAACATTCTTTGGAGAAACATAAAATTTATGAATGATAGTTCACACTAAGTTTTCACTAAGAGTCCCAGACTGTTGACAAAAATCTCAGATTAGGAAATTTGATTAAAGGAGGGTCAGAATCAGTTAACAGGAAAGCAGAAGATTTTCTAAAATTGTTTATCTCTCAACTTTCCTCATTCCCCTAAAGCAGGCTTTGACTAACACTTTATATCTGAAGATTGAATCCAATTAAAAGAGTCTAATGGGCTTCTTTGAGTCTGCAAGATATTAAGATTTGGAGATTTGGAGAAAATATATAATTGGATCAAGGAAATGTTTTGAGAACCTACATCATAACATAAAATATATATGCTTATATCGTGTAGGTCAGCCATTGGTTCTTCCTTTGAGAACATTTTTTCTGCACTCAACATTTTCAATATTTCATCACTTTTCAACAAAATTTTTATGGATTATGAACAAAAGTCTATTTATCTTCCAATTGTAATATTTTTTCATTGTCTTTGCTAATATTAGATATAAAATCAATTTCAGAAAAATTACAGTAAAAGGAGAATTGCTTTGCCTTATCATGCTAAAAATGAGATATTCAGTTCAAGATGAGTAATTTACATGGAGCTTTTCTTCATACTCTCCTGTGAGATAGGGTAGTATTTAGATATCAAAGGCATACACTGGACAGACTCATAAATAGCCAATCACTACTGAATGCTAATTTCTGCTCCTTCTCTGATATGAACCCTTAAGCAATGAGCAGAGATACCTTCAGAAACAAAGCAGGGGAAGTTTTCCAATTTCTCTCCAGAAGACAAGGAGTTCAGAGAAACAGGTAGAGTCTCCATATGCTCCAAGTTTCCTTGAAGCTTGAAGAAGAGTATCAAACCCAGTAGACATATGGATGTACATTAGCTCACAGCTCCTGAGAAACTGATGTGAGTTCCAATTTTAAAAACCATGGAAAGACCAGAAGAGCAATCTCTTATCCCCAGCTCCAAAGTGGAGGCAAATATAATTGTTTTTTTGCCTGGCTCCCTTGAGGGTAGAACTACCTGTGGAAGAAGCCACTGGAGAGTTTACCTTTGGAGGAATAATGATGACACCCATGGAGCAGCCATTAGGGTCTTGGTGAATCACAAAGCTTTTTGTCTTCTGAGTTTACCTGGGGGAAAATGTAGTTCAGAGTTTGTCATGAAGCAAGATGATTATTGACTTAAGAAGCTAAGTGTCTTGTTCCAAACTCCATGTTATTTTTGTAATAAACAGCAGAAATATTCTAATACTTTCATTCTCAGGCTACTAGCATGAGGAAAATTATTATCATTGGAAGCAGTGGACCCAGAGGAAGGATATATACTGGATATGAGCCTGTCTCTTGCCTACAACTGTCATCTTCGTATTCCACAGGTACAAGATTCTCATAAGAAAATAAACATATTTTGCAAACTTTCTTCTAAACTCCTTTCAAAATACACTCAAATCTATTGATACACTGCACTTCCATTTCTATAATACCTGGAAAAATGTATATCATGTGTTTATTTTTCAAGGTAAAGATGTGTGAATATTTATAAATGCTATTATTTGGGTCTGTTTATGTTAAAGATCAAGCTGTGCTGGGAACTACTCTTTGCGTGAGGAATTGCTGCAAGGCATTTAGATTTCAGGAGTTGTTTCAGGTTCCTGTATAACATGGTTATTCATGAGTTGCCCTGATGATAATGCAACATTTAACCTGCTTGTTTCCATAGAATTCAAAAGCTGGTAAAATTTCCTTTTCACAAGAAACAACATAATTGCACCTCCTTCTTTCCCTGTATGTATAATATGATAAAGAAGAAAACCATACGTTTACATGAATATATAATTTTAAAGACTCAGTGTTGTACTCTCTTACATTTCTATGTTGAAGCTCCAGCCCTGTGTGTTTGGAGATAGGGTCTGTAATGAAGTAATTAATATTGCATAAAATTATAATGATGGGCCCTGATATCATGGTATGAGTGTCTTAAAAAGACAAGAAACCCTGTGGTTTTGCCACATGAGGACATAGCAAGAAAGCAGCTATCTGTGAGCCAAGAAGAGAGTCCTCACTAAAACAACAAATCAGCTAGAATGTTGGATATCTAGCCTCCAGAATGGTAGGAATATAAATTCCTCTTGTTTGGGTCAAATAAACTCTGGAACACTGTAAGAAAGGCTAAGCAATTTAAGTCATGTGTCTGTATACATACAAATATACACATATATTTTAGAGATGAATACAAGTAGAAATACCACTACAGAATGTATTCTCCTCTCCTCTGGAGAGGTGACAGTTGAGTAATATGTAGATCATTGAAAGTTAAATTTCTAATTTCAAGTGATGCTTTCTTAATGGATGATAGATATTTGGAAGTAAGAAGAAAATATTCAAATGGAAAGGGAAAAGGGGGAAGGAAGATGAAAGGAAAAAAGAGAATAGAAGAAAGTGGAAACAAAGCTTTTGTAAATAAAGAGCGGAATAAGGGTTGAAGGGAGGGGAGGGGATGGGAAAAAAGAAGAATCAAGATATATTGTGTACAGGTACAAATTCCCTATGATGAATGTGATTATTTGGTCCATCAAAATTGTACCAATAAAATTAATATTAAAAAATAGTCCCTAATGGAAGAATAACAATCATAGACAGAAATGAGTATATAAGAAATGCAAAACTTTATGAACTATCACAAGAGAAACACATCATTAATAGCAGTCTTATTTATCATACATATGTATACAAGTATTTGTGCCATTATATTTATCTATAAGAAGGATTCTAATCATTTTCATGCATGATTTATTTTTTCCATTAAGTTTATTGGTCCATTTTATTTATTTATTTTTAAAGTAAAAAACAAATTTATTAAGCTAAAAGACACATTGTCTTTAATTCCCTTCAAAGCACCCCCCATTGCTTTTTTTTTTTTGCTTAAATACTTTTATTGGTACATTTTTTGTATACAATACATTTACGCTTATCATTGGGTGCTTGTACCTGTACTTGATGTATCTTGATTCTTATTTTTTTCCCCATTACCTTTGCTCCCTTCACTCGCTCCACCCCTCCCTATCTACACAGACTGTGTTTCCACTTTTTTCTTTTCTAATAATTTTTCTTTTTCCTTCTCTCCTTTCTCCCTCCCCTCCCACTTCCCCTACCCCTTTGGACTTTTTCTTCCTATCTCAAACTACCAATTATTCATTTTAATCATTTTAATTTTTATTTACACTTTTAGTTTCTCACCCTAGAGAAACTATTCTGTATTTACATATGTGTGTCCTATTTATTTCACTTAAGAGTATGGCCTGAATATGCATCCATTTAGCTATAAATGTCTCTAGTTTTTCATTCTTTATGCCTGAGTGGTACTCTATTTTATTTTTTAAAAACCCCACATCTTCTTTATCCAGTTTCCAGTTGATGGGCTGTTTCCAAGCTTTAGGTATTATGAACTGTGGCGCTATAAACATGGCTGCACATGATTCTTTTAATTCTTTTGGGAAGATACGCAGCAGGGGTATAGCTGGGTCTAATGGGACCTCTAGCTCTAGTTCTTTGAGGTATCTCCATACTGATTTCCACAGTGGTTGCACCAGTCTGCACTCCCACCAACAATGGAGAAGGGTTCCTTTGTCCCCACACCCCCGCCAGCATTTGTTATTAGTTGATCTTGATAGCAGCCATTCTTTCTGGGGTGGAGGCGGAATCTCAGTGTTGTTTTCACCTGCATCTCTCCAATGACCAGTGATGTTGAAGACTTTTTTTATGTGTTCATTTACTGCTTTTACTTCTTTATATTGGTACATTTTAGGTATAAAATAGAGTTACTTTCATCATTGGGATCTTGTAGCTTTACATGAGTATCTTGGTTCTTATTTTTTTCCCCATTTCCCTGCTCTCCCTTCACCCCCTCTAGCCTTCCCTAGCTACAAAGACTTTGTTTCAATTTTTTCCATTTCTCATATTTTTTCTTTTTCCTTCTTTCCTTTCCCCTACCCCTCCCACTTTCCCTACTCCTTTAGACCCTTTCTTCCTATTACACAGTATCAATTATACATTTTGTAAAATTATAAAGATTTAGAGAACATTACTACAGATTTTACAGAATTTAAAAGGATATAGTAAGCATATTACAAAAATCTTTTTTGAAATAAATTTGACATCTTCTATGAAGTACCTTGGAAGACAAATTAATGAAACTGACTCCAGGATAAATATAAAATTTGAATAGCATCTATTAAAGAAATTATATTCTTAGCTTGAAAACCTACCTATATGAAAACAGTAGGCCAATGTAAATTTTAAATGATAAATTATAGGAATCATTTAAAGCAGATAAAAGTAGGAACACATTTCCCCACATTTTAAGAAATCAACATTGTTCTAATACTAAAACTGGATAAAGA